AGCAGCGGCAGCCCGAGCAGCGGCCGGAGCCCGGCTCTATGATGAAGTTCAAGCCCAACCAGACGCGGACGTATGACCGCGAGGGCTTCAAGAAGCGGGCGGCGTGCCTGTGCTTCCGCAGCGAGCAGGAGGACGAGGTGAGCGACCGCGCCGCCGCCCTTCGCCGGCGGGACAAAGGGGCTCGGCCGGCCTAGCGGGGTCCCCGCGCCCGGGCAGACATGGCGAGCGCGGCCGAGCCCTGCTGCTTTTCCGCTTCCCTGCGGCGGTGTGGCGGTTTCGGGTTGAGTCTGGGCTGCTGTGCGGGTGGCGCACGGTCAGCCGCCTGCGGAGCCGAGCACCCCTCGGTCTGGTTTTAGCAGCCCACCTTTTAAGGGGATCCATTAACTCACAAGCCGGTGGCATGATTACGATTCATTTCACCATACTGCCTCAAGTTTTCTGACTCGCGGTGGCTAGTGAAACGTGGACTAACGCCAGGCGGGACAAGATAGGCTGGAAATGGGGCAGAGTTGCCATTTTCGGACTGTAATCGCTCGCTCCTCAACGTTTCTCACGGCTTCTTGGCCGTGTGGCTTGACATCTGGTAAGGAGCGGTCTTCCGTTGTTCTAAGAGCAAGCAGTCAAGGCGTCTATGATTTTACCCCTCTGCTTTGTATTGATAGAGGCCCTTGAGCTTTCCCTGGAGAGCGATTTTTGCTTATTTGTTCATTTTTAAAAATGGCTCGCCGTATTAAATTTTCTCAGGGCAGTAAGTCACTTGGTAGCTGATGAAAATCTTGTAGGATTGCGAAGCCTAAAATGATCAGATAAGGAGAAAGTTAGCATTCTGAGGTCTGCTTCCATAACTGTGTCCAGTAAAATATGGGCTAAAGCTAGAGATGTTCCGGAATTCCATGGTCTTCTTGGTGCTAGCCCCTTAAGTTTTGACATAGCATACACTCAGAGGTGTAACTGTTCTTTATTAACACAAATCACGTGCTTGAAAGTTATTCTCTTTAAACCGTCTTTGCCTTTTGTTATCTATCAGAGTCTCACTATGTAGACCAGTCTGGCCTTGATCTCAGAGATCTTCCCAAGTGCGGGATTAAAGGCCTGTGCCACCAACACCCGGCCTTTATTGTTAAAAAGAAACTAAGCACTTGGGGTTAGTTGGAGGCCTTTAAGTATTAAACCTAAATCCTGAAGGAACTTCCAGAGAAAGGTCTTTGAAGTGGGTCTACTTGAAGAAATGCAGCCGGGTGTGATGGCGCACACCTTTAATCCCAGCTCTCGGGAGGCAGAGGCAGGCGGATCTCTGTGAGTTCAAGGCCAGCCTGGTCTACATAGTGAGTTCCAGGACAGCTGGAGCTACAGGGAGACTCTGTCTCAAAAAGACCAAAAAGAAAAGAAGAAATGCAAGGGTTTTTAACCATTTACCAAGAGAACAAAGTCAACAAACGTTAAATACATTCTTTAAAGAAAAGGGGACAGGGGAGAAGGACCATGTTAGGGTAAAGCAAACTGAATATATGAGAATAGTGACCAAGGTAGATGAGGGATCTGGACCTTAGGTGCTGCCAGGAGAAAGTTTGTTAAATTTAATCCTTTTCCAAGGTAGTGTTGGTTAGTCTGTTTTATGGGTGAGAAGATAGCTCAGAGCATGAGTACTTTCCCAGATGACACAGGAAGTAGTAGAGTCAGAATTCAGGATTCAGTTCCTACTCCAGATGCTGGGCTCTAGCAGAGGGCCTGTCCCATAGCAGTAGGATGCTCGAAGTTTGTTGAATAGGAGAAATTTTGTGAGGCTCAACTTCAAAGTCTTATGAAAGTGTTACCTTTGAAGTCTTGCTGTAATATGAACTTGGAAATCCAGACTTTATTTTAAAAAGTGTTTGTGTGGGGCATGGTGGTGCATACCTTTAATCCCAGCACTCCTGGAGGCAGAGGCGGGCGCATCTCTGTGAATTCAAGGCCAGCCTGGTCTACATAGTGAGTTTCAGGACAGCTGGGGCTACAGGGAGACCCTGTCTCAAAAAGACCAGAAAAAGAAAAAAAGTGTGTATGTGCACATATAATACACATATATGCACGCACCACACACACATGCACACCAATTCCTGAGGAAAACTATGGGGGATAGGAGAAATCTGAAATGATCAGAACTGCTAGTATGGCAAAGCAGTCTTGACAAGAGTTTCAGAAATTACCTTAAGAGGAACATGGGTTGCTTGTGTGTGTACTTAGAAATTATTTCTACTGGGTACAGGGAAGGGAGGCATGTAGCTCAGTAGTAGAGAGCTTGCCTAGCACATGGAGGCCCTGGGTTCCATCCTGGCAGCACGTGCACAGGTGCACACACATACAAAACTACCCAGGAAATTGCTGTAAATTGTTACAGCCTCTCTAGTCAAATAAAACTAGTGTCCTTAAAAGTGAAATGTGCAAGGCTTGAGGAGTAGAGAAGTCCATTGTCTAAAACTGTAAATCTTGGAACCTGGAGACTGGGAAACTGAACAGATCACTTTGTTAGAGCATGTTCTGTGAAGGAAGGCTCTGGAATTCTCTAAAATGCACCTTCAACATCTGGTTTAGCTCTTCAAGAGTTTTTTATTTCTGTGGTTGTGTCTAGTCAAGGCTCTTTCTATTATGTGAAAATTATAGAATAAACTCTTAGCAAAACAATGTTGTCCAGGAAAGCTACAGATTGACTTCCACTCTTAAAATGACATTACTAGCCTTCCAAGGATTGAATGCAGAGCAGTTTGAACCCACCTCTCTAGTTAGTGAGCAAGAAATGTTTCTCTACTGGGTTAAAAACATCTCAGTCCTGGTTAGGACATTTAAATATATGTTTTGAGGAGAGTAACTTTGAATAAAAGAGTAATTACTATTTGACCCTATTGCTGGGATTGCAGCATGAGCCAGGATGCCTAACAGGATCTAATGATAGAGTCATCTTTGGGGGTATGGGGTGGCTTTATGTTTTTGTTTTTCCTGTTTCCTTTTTCTGCCCTTTGTTATTCCTTAAAGTAGCATAGAAGAGGTTACACCAAGCATGGCATAGGGATATGTTAAGAACCCCAACACTTGGGAGGCTGAGGGCAAGAAGATTGTGTGAGGCCAGCCTAAAAAAGAAAAGGAAAGAAAAGGAAAATTAGGTTGCAAAAATAACTCATTCCAAGGTCACAGAGCAAGCTAGTCTTTTTGAATCCAAGTCTTTTGTTCATGAGTCTTGCGCTTCTCAGACCAACCTCTCTGGCTGTTATTCCTATGGCAAACCACCATCCACTGTGACAGTTGAACTTCCAGGCAAACCCATAGATAATTGTCCCTGAGAGTAGCTGGGATGCTGTGCTTGTGCAAAGATGGCAGTAGCTTTATGAATAGGTAACCAGAAATTACTTCCGTTGAACATATTTGCATATGCTTGAACAGTGGATGTGAAGATGAAGTTTCAGCTCATAAGAGCATATTCTGTAGTGGGAGGTTAGATAAATGACTAAAAGAAGGAAATACAATGGCATAAATATGCTTTATGGGCTCTGACTTTGGAATCCTATGTGTGTCATTTGGAAAGTTCAGCAAATTAGAAAGGAGGGACAAGGATCACAAATAGAGTAAGACTTGGGACTATGCTCTACTTGATTGCAGCTTAGGATAAAAAAGAAAAAGAAATAATTTAACAAGCAACTAAGCACCTTGGGCAGAAGATATAGCTCAGTGATTGCTTGCCTTCCATGCCCAAGGTTCTGGGTTCAGTTTCCCCCCAGCACTGGGAAAAAACAAAACATTGAGCACTTCAAATGTAAGGTTGAGGACTTAACTGGGCAAAAAAGGAACCCTTAGTTTTAAGCAAGTACATTTAGATGTTAGATTCTTGAGAGTCATCTGACAGCAAAATGGGACATAGACTCCTGAAGGGAGAAATAGAAATGACTTGATCCTGGTTGGAGTCCAGGTACAGTTGCAAGGAAAGGCATTAACAGATCAGTCCTGAGAGCTGACGCTGATTCCATCTTTGGACCTGTTGCTCTAATTAAATAAAGCTCCCAGAGTTGGGGGGCTGTAACTTCTACAGATGGTCTGCTGTAAAGCTGAAAACCCTGGAAAATCCAAATGCAGTAAAGTCATACAGTAAAGCCAAGGCAGTGAAAAAGAAAAAGCACCTCAGAACATAAACTTGGCCCAGAAACCAGAGCTCTAATGAGCAGTAACCCTCATCAAGAATGTTAGTGTAATGTAATCTGGCATCTTTACACTTAGGATCAGCTGTTACACCCGAGGCAGTCACCCTTTTCATACGTATAGTCACATTTACTCAAATGGACCATTTTTTTCAAAATTAAACCCCCCAGAATAGCCTTTTTAATTTTCCCTCAGGGTTGTCTTTTATTACCTTTTGTACTGCTGGAGAGTTGAACTCAGAGCCTGGGCTTGCTAGGCAGCACTCTGCCACTGAGCAACATCCCCAGCCCAACATAAGCTTTTTTTTTTTTTTTTTTTTTACTCTTTATTATTTTTATTTTATGTCTATGGGTGTATTGCCTGCATGTATGTGAGTGCACCTGTGTTGTGCATTGCCGCTGAGATCAGATTCCCCTGGAACTGAAGTTAAGGACGACTCTCGTAGCCACCACGTGGGGGTACTGGGAATCAAACCCAGGTCCTCTGCAAGAGCAGTCAGCACTCTCAACCACTGAGCCATCTCTCCAGCCTCCTGATTTTTTAAACACAGGGAAGTCTATTCATCTGTGACTATGGCTCCCCCAGACCTAGGAAGGACCTCTTAGGGAAGGTACTTTGTCTGCCATTTGCATGTTTTCTTTAGGGTGACTGCAGGTTTGTTCTCCCGCCTGGTGGAATCAGTAACCTCTAATAAATCTTTCCTCTGGTCTCAGCCATGACTTATAGAAGATTAAATGTCTACTTTCCTCTCTGTGGTCTTACTAAGGTGACAGACCATTGATACAGTGAAGGAATTACAACCTGTGAATGGCCAGGTATTTACTGTGTAAGCTCTTGATAAATCTTCTTATTGGATGATCTTTTAGTTCAGCTTTGTTACTTGAGTAATACCATTTTACAACATTATTTAGCATGCTAACTATACTGTACATCCAGTAGATTTTGAGGGTGCTATAGAAATGTGTAGGTGCCT